CACTCAAAAAAGTTTCTCTCGCCATCCTTGAGTTTCAAAACCAGTTGGGCCACCAACAAAAATGTAAAACCTCACCTGTACATAGTTCTCTCCAAAGTGCCGTTGTCCGATTGCATAACAAGCAGCAATAAGTTCTATTGGCTTCGTCTTTGACACAGCTACCAATCTACATCGCTTCGACAAAGAAGATTTGTTACAAGCATCACTAATCAAATCCAGAATCACCTAGAAAAAAATGGCTAATATAACCTTGTGCAAGGCCACTACAAAAAATCTTGATACCTTGATATTTTCCTGTACCGCTACACCAGCTGCCATGGTCTGGAAGCCAAAAAGCGCTTTATTACTCGGGTTGTGAAGGTGTATGGCAACACAGCAACCCTTTTGTGGTGGCCAGGGCATCATTGAACATCATCAACAGCGCTCCAAAGCTGACGACCGCCACGCAGCCGCGCGCAATCTTGTCGTCGTTTTGACGACGCGCTCTTGAACTACATGAACTTTTTCGAGCAGCCAGGCTAGTTAAAATTGTATTATCACTCATTTTCTCGAGACAAGTGATGGTGCTCTCGTATTAATAGTTCTCCACAAGTAAGGATAGCAGTGTCGCACGTGTTCACCGGCCTTTGAAGGGAGAAATCGTCAAGAATGCCGTAGCTGGCGTTCCTGTGAGTGTTGCTTTGTTTCTAAAGCTTTTTAAAGTGCTCAGCTTTGTAAATATAAGGGGTCTGTAGCATGTTGAGGAGGTTGAGGTACTGTACACTGCGCTATTGTATTGAGGAGTGTTGGAACATATTGTGCGTTGTATCATGATCTTTTGAAGACGAATCCCTGAAATTTATGTAAGCACTGCTACCGTACGATGGGACTCATGTTGTTGTTTCCTACAACCCCGAATATGCTATCAAATAGAAAGATCACATTGATCACTACAGTTACATTTCTGTTACGCTAGGGCTTGTCAATGAGTTCTCGGCACACTTCAGAAGGTTGATGTGATATTGTTTTTCTCGGTGGCTGGGTCGTACACCGGTATGGCATGGTCGCGTTCAAACTTCAATGCAGACATAGCAATCTGGAGAATTGAAGAATCGGAACTCGTTACCTATCTAATCATTTTGTGCACCCTTTGATTGTTTACAGTTCCACGGTTTTCCGATTCTTCAACTTCCAGATACTCGATACATGTACACTCCTCGCGATTTCTCCGCAGTGCACATCGTTGTTGGGGAATCCCCAATAGGAGGGGGTCGTATTTGGGTTGGGAAAAGTTTATTTTGACAGTTGATTTTTCTCGTTGTAAAAGGGGGTGGGTGGGGGTCGTATGCTCATTGTTGGGAAGGGGGGGGGTCGTATTTACGTTTTGGATGCCCCCCCCCGTTCGACGGCTCGATTCGATGAGGAGGAACAAAGGGCCGGAGGAGGGGGTCGTACCAACCCAAAAAAAAGGGGGGGGGGGTCGTACAGACTCGACTAAAATCCCCAACCAATGATGTGCCCTGTTTCTCCGATTTTCGCAGTCTCGCGGCTAGCGCTGTTTTGATTCTCGTACTTCTCTAGTAATAAAGCGGTCTATCGAACGGTGTCAGTTTGCACTGAATATGAGGTACCATAGAGGAAGTTGTTTTAATGAATCCTCGTTTGGAATGTGTCGCAGTTTCAAGAACCACTTTGTTTTT